TGTTATGAATTGGCGCTATACATTGAATTGAATTGAACTTATAACACCTGTGCTCATTCTGAATATATAAAATCAAATGAAATACACCAGTTAAATAGATTCATTAAAGATTGCAGATGTACGATTCTGAAGCATTTTACACAATTTAAGAATTAAGACATGTCCAGCTGTCGAACTGGTTTCCTCGGGCAGGTCTGAACAGGCTCCGGGACGTATTTACTGTCCCGTCTCCCACAGAAAGATAAAGGTCTTCCTTCAGACCTGATCCCTGACCTGCATTAACCTGTGTCAATACACCTGATCCTACCTGGTGTCACTAACCAATAAGCTGTTTCACACTCGACTGATGGCAGCAGGTCAGAGGCACAAGATAATTAATTAACTGGCTAATTAAATATCTAATTAGGGCTCTTTAGACACCATAGCTGGTTGTCGTTTCGTTGTCGCTTACTTTACTAAGACTTAATGCTCCTGTATGTTTATAAAGAGAGTTTCCACCTGTATAACTCTATAAATGGTTCATCCTACAAATCCTGGATGCATGTGTCCAACTGAAACACAGAAGAGAGACTTACAGCAGTTGTTTCAGAAGCTCATAGTGCCGCCGCCTGACCTCAGGGCCTTTTATCCAACTTGAATGAGGTCAATGTCTCGTCTGGTGTACTGGTTTATAAAGCAGAACTGGATCTGTAAGAGCCTGATCACATGACAGAAGTAATTCATGCATCGACAGTCACAGACGGCGGCTCACAGCCACCGGCGCCACGAAGAGGAATCTGTATTAATGCTTCGATGTGCTGGAGACAAAAGTACACTACCCCATTGTAACCGACTGTATGTTTAATCCACACCAATAAATGGCCAACGTACTGGAGGCCCAGTTGTACCTGGAAGAACGTGTCAAAAAATGAAGCAACTTTCTGACAAAAAATGTATACTTTTTAAGATGTTCTGTCAAGGAGTTAAATAATTCAGCCTGTGAGGAACATTAAAGGTTACATATATGAGAACCTGAAGCTTTTTACGTATTATTTTTATTATTTTACAGTGTTCAGTCAACAGGACGCTGACTGCAGTTCACTAAGTGGCCACTGGTGGCGCTGTTAACAATGGTTAATAAAAGTTACATACAGGAGCTTTAATATCTGACAGTTGTAACAATAGTTCATAGTTGGACTCATCAAACATTACCGCTGCTACTGCAGCTAAAACAACGTTTGTACGCAGTTTTCGGGCTTCATCAGACGGCACATTATGTTTTCTGTTTCAGACGTGAAGGAGGACTTTGCGCCTCCTCTGTCGGGGATGCCGGGACAGTTTCCTGTCTACCTGCGTCTGCCCTACAGGAGGGACTCCTACTTCTGCTTCAGACAGCAGGCCAAACAGGCTGCTTTCCTCTCCATCCTGTCAGACTGCATCCGGCACCAAAACCAAGGTGAGACCTCAGAAATAGAAACAGATACAGGACACTTTCACTATTCTCTGTTATATAAAGACTGAACAATGACTCGGTTAAATAGAAAAGAGCACCAGGATTAATCACTAATTGATAGTTATAGTGCTAATATAACAGTCCTTCAGCAATGTGATCACCTGCGATCAGCTGCTGCTCTCCATCAATGAGACCTCCCGGGGGGGAACCGGTGTTTAACACTCGCAAGATAGATTTCTGTTTGTGCAGCATCACTTCAACCACATTCGACAGTTGCCATGACAACAGACTCACCACACCAGTTCCGAGGAGGACGTTTAATCTCGCCGATGCAGAGGAATGTCTGCAGCGTGCAGCCGAGCGAGTTGATGAAACGCTACATTTAATTCGGCTGATAAATGTCGAATCGTGGCGCTCGATCACAGCGAGAGACTGAGGATGCCGTTTATGAGGTTATGATGGCAGTTTATCTGTAACTAACTGTATATTTCTTTCTTCTCTGTCAGACTTCCTGAAGAAGAAGACGTGTGAGGTGCAGGCCTTCCTCAAAGCCATCCAGCTCTACAGGCAGGACAAAGGCAGATACGAGGCCTGGGACATGCTGAGAGGAAGTGACGTCAGGGTACGTCGTGTGTTTGCATCTTACACCAAAAACACAGTATTCCTTTAAGATGTTTGCAATTGAAGATGAATATTCCTCTAATAGTCCTGTCAATCACAAGGTAGCCCCGCCCTAAAGCATCCCCTGCTTTATGGTCTGTTTTACTCTAAATGGGACCATCAGTTACTAAATGAACATCATGCTGTATGGAAGAAGACTGAAACTAGAGACTGAGACCAGAAACTCATCAGGAAACTGTTTACTGAGCTCAGAAATCAACTGAGAATCATTTCTCCACAAGACTGAATGGTATCAGAGTGGAGCTCCCCGTGCTAGTTACATAGACTGCAGGTTTAAGACACTTCACAGACCCGAATGTGTCCATTATATAAACTGTCAATGAGACACAACCTCTCTTTCATTCGTTCAACCACAGTCCTTCATAATGTTTATGTGGTTTTTCCTTTCCAACGCTGTAAACACCGACACATCCCTCATGTCCTAATCCGCTCCAAGGATCAGTCAGGAATATCTAAATGGAATATATTGATTCAATGAACCTTAAATGTGGAATATTGTCATATTTGGAAAATTAGTGTCCATGACAAACAGTCATTGGCAACAAACTGCTGCTCCTGGAGCCAATCAGACAAACCTGAACTGCATTAACAGGATTCATCTGCACCTGGAATAGATTAACATTTTTGGAAAATACAAGACGTCCACACTTTGTGCCAGCACCGGAGACAGGTCTGGGTCAAACCATTATCGTTGTGGTAAAGGGGGGGAATGTTGGCTTGTTTCTTTAAACCAATCACAGTCATCCCAGGATGCAGCGACGGGTCAAATACCTCGTCAGCAAGCTCTTTTAAAGGGAAGGAGAATTCTGACTGAAACAGTCGGCCAATGGCAGGCTTACACCCACAGCTTACCTACTGTGAGCCAGACTAGCCTAGCTTAGCATTAAGACTGGAAACAGCTAGCCTGTCTGTGTCCAAAAAAACACACCTACCAATACCTGTAAAACTCACTAACTCACATGTCTCATTTGTTTACAGAAAACAAGTCTGTTTTCTCTTAAGTCTTTAAGTCGCAGCTCATCGTATAATAAATATAATATTAATATAATAACGGACTGAAGTTCAAAGAGGAAACAATAGCAAAGCCTCCTTTGTTTGCAGACTGCAGTGTATTTGCATGATGGCGGGCGTGTTCAGAATCAGAGCGACGACTCATTTGCATCCTCTGTTGTACTGAGAAAACACGGGAGGAGGAGAGCAGCTCTTCATTCACTCCTCCTTACTCTCTTTCTACCTCCTTTACTTCCTCTGCTCTCGCCCGTTTTCCTCTCCGCTCCCTTTAAAGCGGAGCAGGAATCCTCCCACACGGCGACGGCAGAAACGCTCCATTGTGTGAGTTCAAAATTAGTCGGAAGGTGAAAGGAAGTCTGACTGCAGGAAGACACACACACACACACACACACATACACACACACACGCACACGCACCATTTAAAGTCCATTTGTTTTAGCAATAATCAGACATTTCCTGTTTTCTCTGCTTTGAGCGTGCAGTGTATACACGTGTAGTAAAAATACATACCGAAGTACTCGTAACTCACTCACCAGCATTTTCCTCCTTGCACATAGCTTTAGTCTGACACACACACACACATCCACCCCTACGAGTCAGAGCTGAGAAATGAAAGGAATGAATGAAATGTTGGAAGCAGAAACAACAGTCTAACCAGGTTTTATAACCACAGCTGCTCAATCATGGATCTGTTAAACTGACAGACGGTCGGTGTGTGTGTGCAGATTGATCCGTCACATGTTCGTGTTTATTAATCAGGTTAAATCTCCGACGAGGAACCATCATTTTGTGTTTAATTTGCCGGTAATGTTTCTACCGACTCGTTTCATTGATTTCAAGAGGAATCCGACCCAGAGGCAGGCGTTACTAATAACTATATAGTAACAAATTCACTGTTTTCTTCTCTTTGTTTGACAATTTACTTTTCTTTACAGAAGTGACACTGAGATAAAGGCCTACTGTGTTTTCTTACACCCCTTAAAATCAAAAAGACCTTGCAACCCCTCCATGAAGCTTTGGCGACCCCTTAGTGGGGGTTGGGAACTACTGATACAGAGGCGTGTTTTATAGCAAAATATGTAGAATTCAAATACGTTAGTACAAGTAAACACTAGTAAATATCCACATACAGCTGTATAAAGTGGTTTGGGGGTTAAGTTACTCTTTAAAATAGCTTATTTTTTACTGTAAATGTGACCAAAAAAGGGCACACAGGCAGAGACAGTATGCTACTTTAAACTTCTGGAGGTTTGCAGCCACCATAGTTTCTCTAGATGCCACTTAATCCTGCACACTGGTCCTTTAAAACCTGATATTTCAGTCAATAATAAGAGAGTTGGTCCATCTGGCCTTGCACACTTTGGGGTTTTGTTGTAATCTTGACAGTTTTTGAAAAATCAGTGAATAAAAATAATAAATCCAGTCCTGTTTGTAGGTGATGGCCAACCTGGTGATGGAGCAGCTGCTGCCGTCTCTGGAGAAAGACATGCTGCCTCGTCTCAAAGCCAAGAAGACGGAGAAAAAGAGAGTCTGGTTTGCTGTGAGTCAAACTCTCCCTGGATCAATTAATCGGCTCCAGAAATCTGCTGGAATCTATTGATTTATAACTTATTTATGCTGCTGTTTCCCTGTTATTGGCATATGAAGAGCCATGAAGTCCATGCAGAACTCCGGAGGCCTAAATTTGCCATTATCATAAACAAAAAAGACAATAATGTAGAAATAAAAGCCTCCATTATAAATAAATGAGCAGGTTACTTTAAAGCACAGAAATATCTTTAATATGTATTATTCTGTATTTCCTGACCTATATGGGGGCAACTGAGACACGCCCCCTCATTAACATATGGGTATCGAAATATATAAATAAATATATTTATTATTAAAAACCAGAGATAAATAAGTAGGGAAATGAATAAATAGGTAAATAAATATGCACAGAAATACATGTAAACAGAAGAGTATAAATTGGTATAAATATAGAAATAGATTAATACAAAAATAAGTAATTTGTCATAAATAATTTCCTTTTTATTCTTTCTTATTTGATTCACTTTTAAGTCATTAATTAATTTATTATAATGGCAGCTTTTGTCCTCCATATATTTCTGCATTATATCTGGTGGAATATGATGATATAATAATATAAAACAAGTAAGAAATGTATTTTACGTGTGTTTGAATCCCTGTTTGTACCCAGACGGTGGAGGCGGCGTACATCCTGGTCCAGGAGCACCTCCTGGAGGGACTCTCCGCTCTGAAGGAGGACTGTCGAGTGTCGGTGCGGCAGCAGGAGGTGCTCATCCACTCCGACATGGACCAGATCCTCAACTGCAGACGGCAGCTGGAGGAAAAAGTCCGAGGTAACGTTTCTCTGTTACTGATTGATGCTCGGAGCCGTCGCACGCCGGACGAGCTGCCGTCCTCTGTGATGAATGTGAATGAAACTGGCTCTGGGTAATAGATGGAAACATCCGGGGCCAGATGAGATTCTGTCTTCAGGTCATTTTCTGACAGTAAACCTTTCATTTGTCTCTCCGGCAGCCAAAGTTTCAGAGCCAGCAGAGAAGCTGTGCTCCGAGTCGGTCCAGCCGTACCTGGGCTCGGTCCTGGAGGAGCTGATGGAGCCGGTCAGCTCTGGTTTTCTGAAGGGACGGACGTTGAGTGACACTATGATGGACCAGGTGTGTCAGGACGTCCTGCTGCAAGAGAACAACGAGCAACTGAAAAAGGTTTGTTCATAATAAATGTTTATTCTGTTGTTGGAGACCAAACTGACTGACAATGATCATATTGTTTCTATTTGCTGAATATATTTTAACCCAGATATTCAATCGAAGGCTTCACTTAAAGGCGCCTAATAAAAATAGTTATCCACCGTGATGAAAACCTATAAATAAAATATTAGCCTTTACACTGATTGCAGCTCACATTTTTATAGTTTACATAAAACTAAATATTGTTAAGGCAAAGTTTAGACAGCAGAGTCACTATATGAACTCAATAATATATCACTGGAAACCAAAAATGATCAATGGTTGGAGAGAGAAACTAAACTAATGTGAACAATTCAGTGTTTGTAGTCAGCTGCGAACACTCTGGAGGAGACACAGAAACCTGACAGTTACATTTAAAGTCATTTTAGGCATCGATTAGTGGGCGTTATACAGCTGTATCGTTAATCTCTCTTTCTCTCTCTCTGTCTCTCTCTCTCTCTCTCTCTCTCTCTCAGGCTCTTGCTGACATGGCGAGACCGGACCTGCTGAGCTGCTACCAGAACATTGGCTCCCTGCAGGAGAAACGGCAGCACCTGCAGGATCGGTTCGGTTTCTCAAACATCTCAGGAGTGATCCACAGCGCTCAGATCGACCTGCAGCAGGTACACACACACACACACACTCAGACAGAGTGGGCGAAGGGATTTTATCAGCCGACATTTATGACACACTTGTGATTGTAACATATGTTCCTTCGGTCCGCTGACTCAGCATGAAATCTCCCAGCTGTGTGAACACACCATGAATCAGTTGATATTTTACACTGATGGGATTTCCAGATGTTTGCAGGATGTTGTTTTTCCCTTAAACAGCCGTCTGATCTGATCTCATCCTATGTGTGTGTGCGTGCGTGCGTGCGTGTGTGTGTATGTTTCAGCTGATGGAGAATGCAGCTTACACGTTCGAGCAGCTGCTCCACAAAGCCATCCAGGACAACCCTGACAATGCCAGCTCCGCCATCGAAAAGGCCAAACACAGAGTGCTGAAGGTCAGATTGATGAGTTAGACTCATTCATTCAGTTTCTCCAGAACTTCACTGCCTTTAATTCGGGTTGTTACGGCCTAAAGTTCCTGATTTCACAGCAGCTATTGTTTACTCCAACTTTATTTTTATCTTATTTGTGATCTAATAAACAGTAAATTCATCAGATCCGGAGCCCCATATCACTATTCTCCTGGTCCATTCTAAAGTAGGCTGAATAATAATAAACAGCACAGCAGTGTCTCTCTACTGCCACCTGCTGGTCTGTAGGCTGTACAGCTACTGAGACACACACACAATCTCTCTCACACACCACACACACACACACATTTACAGATCTTGTGTATGGAAGTAAAACCTTGTTGATTTGTGTACCTGAGCACACACACAGTGAAAGAGTGAATCCTCACTGATCTGGTTTGTTTGCAGCAATATGATTACGACAGCAGCACGGTGAGGAAGAGGATCTCCCGGGAGGCTCTCGTTTCCATCACTCTGCCCTTTCTAAAGAAGAACCTGGCCCCCACCTGCAAGACCGTGAGTCTCCCACACACACACACACACACACTATAGCTCATAGATTTATCACACTAATACATTATTAAATGAATAATATTATAATAAGTGTGGAGTTTATTTTTGTGTTAATGTGTCTTGGGTCAGCGTCCTCTAACAGCCCTGCCAGATAATTCAAGCTCTGACTTGATGAAAAAATGCCAATACGTTTGTTACGATGCTCTATGTAGCCGCAGGGAGGGCTTTGGGAAGGTTTGCTGCCCTCAGTTTTGCCTATAAGGCGGCATACGTGTTGCTCTAACCCCCTTATTGGTGGAGGTTGTTGGTCACACACATCCTGATACAGAGGCTGCGTTCACACTGCTCATAATGTTAAGGGTTAATGCTCACAGTGTGAACAGCCAACGTTCTGCAGGCAAGACTCAGGGTGGAAACTAAATATTCCACCTCCTCTGTACGAGTTTGGGAAAGAAATATTTTAAAGTGTGAAAAATGTAAAAAAAACTGGAATTAAACGTGAATCAAAGCAAGTTTATTGTAAAGCTGCAAATACACGATCTGTGGTTGATTCAGTGACGTGTCAGATTGAGTGGGGTTAACTTAATAATGCAGAAAGGCCTTTATTTTGAAAGTTAAGATGAACAGTTTCATTAAGCATTAACACACACACACACAC